TGATGGGTCCTCTCCTGCTCCCCTGGCTGGGCTCTGAAAGCCCTCGCAGCTTGGAGAAGACACTTGAAGCCTTTCTGGTCTCTGGTGCCAAACCAGCTCTGTCTACAGGAAAAAGGGCTGGTTTATTGTAACTGTCCCTTACCCTACACCACACACTGCTTCTTGTCCAGCGTTCTGGCCTCCCAGCATGGGGAAGCATCAGAAAATGTGATTAACCCCGCATTGCTGACCCCCAGAACAGCCTGTAGGAGATGGCCTTGCCCAGAGAGGTCAACCACGTGCTGAGTGTCAGCAGCACAGCTCTCCTGAGAAGAACTGCAGCAGGACTCCGAAATTATGGAATTGTCCAGGTTGGAAGGGACCTTTAAGATCATATAGTCCAACCATCAACCTAACTCTGATAAAAAACCATCATTAACCATGTCCCTCAGCACCACATCTGCCCGGATTTAAATACCCCCAGGGATGGAAAGCCCTGCTAAGTCTACAGATTTAATTCCACCCCCTGTTCTCTGTCTGAGAACAAGCAACAGCAGGTTTTCTGAGATATTGCACAACTCGAAACCCGGAGACAGTCCCCTGGTCTCCAGCTTTCTGAAAAGCCTGGAACTGGTTCCAGCCTTATTGAAAATCTGGTGCATCTGCTTAAAACTTTGTAGGAACTTTTTTTTTTTTCCTGGTTTTAATTAAAATTGAGTTTTGTTTGTGACTGAAAGCTGAGCTGCTGAATTAAGAGATGAGAAAGCTGTAACTAAACCTTGAAAGCTGAAGATTTCACATATCGTTTCACATTTTCCACAACTGACAGATTGTACAAATTTATGTTAAACATATTTTTTCGTTTTCAAACCAGATTGTTTAGGAGAAAATTAAACTTCTAATGGTCTTAGTATCTGGAAAACACGATACACTTGAAAAATAAAAATCTCACTGGCTTCATTTTTAAATAAGTTTTGAAGCTCATCTGCTTAGACTGACAAAGAGGGAATGAGGATACTCTTTTGGCGTGAATCTTATTTAAATGAAATGCCCAAGTCACCAACACCACTTCTCTATCACTATACCAAATATCTGTACCATTTAAACCCCAAATGTGTAGTTATATCTGCTCTAAGGAAAGAACTAACAGCCTTTGTCAGGGCCATAAAACTATGGTTATTTTAGCAAGAAATTCTGAGTTCAAACTCACCCTCCATTTCTTGTGCTCTCTGGAGTGTGAGTGCCTGAGGGTGGGTTCTTGATGGGTATGAGCATCATACCCAGGGTGTTCCACGGGCTCAGAGAAGCAAAGTTTAGGAAATAAAACTGGCTGTTTTTTGCAGAGTGCCCCCAGAAAGATGTTAGTCTGGGAAATTACTCCACCCCACTGCAGCTGAAACTTGGATATTCCGAGCGCAGAGGGCCCGGCACACGCTGTGTGCTGCATCACATACCCTTAATAAAAGTAAGGTTTATTGTTTCCACACCTCTTCTGTCATCTTTTTGCAGTTACAGAGGCAGTAATTAGCCAGGGACGTTACAGATGCATTAATTAACCAGGCTGGAGAGCACAGGGCAGCCTGCGAAGCAGGCACTTAATGGAGTTTGAAGCAGAGACGATGCTGCTGTTTACTGGGTAGTGTAGGAGTTGCCAAGCAGTACGTCCCCACGCAATTAAAACACCACTGCACATGTGCTAAAAAGGAATATTTGAATGGGATTATGGAGCAATTACAAGTTGTCTTATTGTGCTGGCTGTGTGTACCCCTGGGGTTAGAGCAGGCAGCTACTGCAGGAGCCTGGCAGTGAGCAGTGTAGGGCTGCTGAAAGCTTTCCATTGTTCCTGCCCTAATTGAATACTTACAGCAGGAGATAACTGGGACTGTGTCTCTGGAGTTCAGGTTCACTGTCAGGTGCTCCCCCCCACCCCGGGAAAGAGCTATTTCAGACCCTGATTATAAGGCAGGAGTTCCCTTCGGATGGGTCACCCCCCCACGTTCAGCAAGGACACCCCATCGTGGTTTTGGGGGCTTCCACATAGAATCATAGAATCATTCAGGTTGGGATCATCGAGTCCAACCATCTACCCTACTCTACAAAGTCCTCCCCTACACCATATCCCTCAGTGATATCCCTCATGGTGCCTTTATGCCTTGGAAGGCCATGACCAGAGCCATCCTGGTCATCCACAGGACCATCAGCCTGGGTGATGGGTCCTCTCCTGCTCCCCTGGCTGGGCTCTGAAAGCCCTCGCAGCTTGGAGAAGACACTTGAAGCCTTTCTGGTCTCTGGTGCCAAACCAGCTCTGTCTACAGGAAAAAGGGCTGGTTTATTGTAACTGTCCCTTACCCTACACCACACACTGCTTCTTGTCCAGCGTTCTGGCCTCCCAGCATGGGGAAGCATCAGAAAATGTGATTAACCCCGCATTGCTGACCCCCAGAACAGCCTGTAGGAGATGGCCTTGCCCAGAGAGGTCAACCACGTGCTGAGTGTCAGCAGCACAGCTCTCCTGAGAAGAACTGCAGCAGGACTCCGAAATTATGGAATTGTCCAGGTTGGAAGGGACCTTTAAGATCATATAGTCCAACCATCAACCTAACTCTGATAAAAAACCATCATTAACCATGTCCCTCAGCACCACATCTGCCCGGATTTAAATACCCCCAGGGATGGAAAGCCCTGCTAAGTCTACAGATTTAATTCCACCCCCTGTTCTCTGTCTGAGAACAAGCAACAGCAGGTTTTCTGAGATTTTTTTCAATTCTGATGGTTTTAAACTCTTCCATGGGTTAAACCATTCCACCAGAGTGTCTGGATGGACTATTTTCTGAGAGTAAGATGCTACAACTCACGCTGATAAAAAACCATCATTAACCATGTCCCTCAGCACCACATCTGCCCGGATTTAAATACCCCCAGGGATGGAAAGCCCTGCTAAGTCTACAGATTTAATTCCACCCCCTGTTCTCTGTCTGAGAACAAGCAACAGCAGGTTTTCTGAGATTTTTTTCAATTCTGATGGTTTTAAACTCTTCCATGGGTTAAACCATTCCACCAGAGTGTCTGGATGGACTATTTTCTGAGAGTAAGATGCTACAACTCACGCTACAACACAAAAAGCACACGGTAGCGTTAGTCATTCAGTATTTTGCCCAGTATTTTTATACTTGTGCTGCAATATCCAAATGCTATGAGTTTGCTACTAACCAATATAACAAAACAATACATGAGCAGGGCTCTGAAATTCACAGGACTCTAGGAGCTGCTGGCACGTTGAACTGCTCTTTGGTAGCTGATAGAAGGGGGTGAAGATTGACCAGCCCAGGGCAGGGGATGCTGCACGTTGTGGTGTCACCAAAGAGTCAGGAGTGGTCTCCATGCTGGCTTTTATTTCCTGAAAAGACGTGGTGCCTCACTAGAGCTTCTTCAAAAGGCAAAGCCACTTGGGGTAATTTTCTCCTTCCATTATTGTATTTTTCATAGCAGCCTCTGCTCCTTCCGGTTCCTTCCGGCCCAGGAAGCAGCCACACGATGACTAACTCCGTACTTGGTGTTCCTGCCCAGAAGCAAATATTCCTGCAGATCTTCTTGGGGGGAAAAAACTGGCTTTTCAGTCCGCGATACGGAACTGGAAATTTCTCAGTGTTGCAGGTGCCACTGTCCCTCTTTGCCCCTTTCAGGAACCAAAAGCAACTCATATACTCCTGGCCTGGGAGCTTTAAACTGGGGAAAGGGATAAGAGAGAAGTAAAGCTTTCCAGGGAACTTCCTTATGTGGGTGTCTTTTAATGGATTGTAGCAATTAGGAGAACAAAATATCCGTCTTTTCACAAAGGTGACTTTTTTTTTAATAAGAAAGGGAGTTTTCTGATTACTTTGAGTTCACGTGGTGAGAATACATGATATGTTCTTCCCTGAAGCATCTGACACTGATATTTTCCCCGCTGTGCGTTGCTTTGAGTTTCTGTTTGTGTCCCTTGGGCTGCAGGACTCGGACTGGGAAGTATTAGCCAGGAGCTGGATCAAGTGCATGTTGTGAGTGTGTTCTGGTCAGGCCTCCCTCTCACCCTCCGAAAGGGCACAGCGGGAGGACTTTGTGAGGTCAGGTTTTCCAGATTTCACCAGAATTAATTCCAAAATCATAAGGTAATGAGGACAAACAGAAGGTAAATATTTGGAAGTCAGCCTCGACATTGGCAGGTGATTCCGAGAGAATTTGTCCGCAGTTCCGCCGATGCTGAACGCTTCTCCCAGCTCTGCAAAGCTTCTCTTTAGACTTTTTCAAAGTAAATAAATAAACCCTGATCCTTGGGGCTGAGGAGCAGCCTGACAAATACCAGTTTTATGTTTCCCACTGTTCGTTCAGTCCACGGGGTTCAATATGCCGATGAGCTCGGCCGTGTGTCGTCCTGGGCTTTGGTTCTGCCAACCCAGTGCAGTTGGGTTGAACCCACCAGAGATGTCTAAAAGCCAGTTTGCTGTATAAATCTCTAGGAGTTGTGGCCCTCCCCACCTCTTGGGCTATGAGTCTCGATCTCATAACCCGAGTGGAGGAGGAATGACTGATGCAGCTGTAGATGAGGAGGGATGGGGTGAGAGGCGGTGGGAGAGCAGAGCAGTGATTCACGCCGCTCAGGGGCCGGGTGGGTGAGGATCTGAGGTCCCTCAGAAGGGCTGGATGTCGTTCTAGCACCGCTCCCCAGGAGTGCTGGTAGTGTCAGCCGCGCAAGGAACACCTCAACAGAGCAATGTGAGGACAGAGAGAAGCTGCTTTAGTGGTACCAGACTCCAAAGCCGTAAGCACGAGGTTCAGGAAACAGTCTGAAGACGCGGCGCTGAATCCGTCCCTTTTCCTTTGAGTGCTCAGCTTTTTCATGATGGAGGCTTTTTGTGAGGCTTATTAAGCGTGTCCCAGAGCAATCAGGTACGGAGATAACACGAAAGTGCTTTTAATGAAAGGAGTGGTTGGGTGAGCACGTAAGGAAGCTTTGCATTTAACATCCCTCTCTTTCTACCCAGGGATGACTTGCCAGGCCCGCAGCTCCTACATGGACACCGAGGTGCTGTGGGGACATCGCTTCACCCCCGTCCTCACCCTGGAGAAGGATTTTTACGAGGTCGACTACAACAGCTTCCACAGCACCTACGAGACCAACACACCCGTGTGCTGTGCCAAGGAGCTGGCTGAGTCTCGCCGGGAGGGCCAGCTCCTCAGCCACCTCCCCAGTGCCACCCTCCTGAGCCCCGGCAGAGAGGCAGAGACAGCAAAAGGGGAGGAAGAGGAAGAAGAAGAGGAAGAAGGCAAGGAGCCAGCGGGGTTGAACGGAGCCAACGGGACAGCAGGAGAGGTGAAGGAAGACATCCCTGTATAACCCACCAACCGCTGGACCATAGATTCCTACATACACTTACTGGGAGACTGTGACAAATCGGGGACTGACTGGGAGTCAGAGAGCTGAGATTTACCTCCAGATCTCTGCTGCCTGCTGCTCCATCCCGGCCAGTCACCACACAGCACCCGTGCCTCAGTTTCCCTCCCCTTTTACCTGTACAGCAAGGTTCCGAGCTCTTGCAAAGCGTTTTCATCTCTGTGGACAAGGCTCACTACATATGATCACTGTTAAAACTGAAATTCCTACCACTGGTTGTTTCATTGGACGTTCAGAACTCTTCCCCCCTTGAGAGGGTATTTAAAAGGTAAAAGTCCAGAATGTCCCATCTCAGTATGAAGAATGTGGTTTCATACCTTCACTTACTTTGTGAGTCAATGTATTGTAGACATTGTTACTGCTAAATTAAAAGAAGAGGTAAAAAAAAAACAAAAACCCTCTCTGGTATGTAGTGAAGTGTTTTGCCTTCATGAGTTTTACAAATAGATTTGAGCGTTTTCCTCCAGAATCACAAAATGTCTGATATTAACAGGACAACTTTCCCTGCAAACCTTTAGCATGTTTATCCACTATTCTTCACTTTCTTCTCCAACTGAAGTGCTCTCTCTTTGTGTACTCGTTTCATGAACATTCTGACACATTCTGAGGCTGTCCATGGTCAGAGAAAGTTTAGATCTTGCCCCAGTGAAGGTTTTTTCCTGGCCTGGGTGTCCCAGTTTCAATTCCAGTTGATGATTTATAACAAATTAAGGGAGTAGGTAGACTGGGTAAGTAATGGTTTGCAAAATTCTCTGCTCTTCTGTAAAGTATGTATTTAAAATAAAGGTTTTGATGCTGATGTCCCTATAGCTTATGGGACCAGGCACTGACATAACTGGAACCATCTGGTCAGGCTGGTGTAGGCACATGAGCTGGGGTCCAAAATCAGGATCAGTTCCCCACTGCTGTCAGTGACAAGCAATAATATCTCTTGGAGGTCTAATACTTGATTTTTTGGGGGTATGCTTTGTCCTGCAGCTCAGTTAAGGTTGTTGTTCCCGTGAAGCACCAAATTCAGTTTACAATTTCAGTCTCTCCAAAGAGGTAACCATAGAACCATCCTTCCCCAAAGAGGAAGGTCTAGAAAAAGGGTGAAGAAAACTAGTCTGTGGGATGAAAAATGTCAGTCTCTCCAAAGAGGTAACCATAGAACCATTCTTCCCCAAAGAAAAAGGTCCAGAAAAAGGACCTTCAGGTCTGCAAAAAGGGTGAAGAAAACTAGTCTGTGGGATGAAAAATGTCCAGAAATTTGAACAACACAGACAAAAAAAATTCCCTTCTTGGGGAAAATCTCCCCCAAAATTTGGTGGAAAAAATCCAGAAATTTGAACAACACAGACAAAAAAATTCCCTTCTTGGGGAAAATGTCCCCCCTACCCCCCAAAATTTGGTGGAAAAAATAAGATACTTGCAGAATGACTTCTTTATCAAAATGGAATGAAGAAAACACAATATGCAAGAGTTATTTTCCATATGGAAAATATATGTTTTTCCATATGGACTATATGTTTATCTGTGAAATGAATATTCTCTGTAGTAGGGATGGACTGAGCTGCACACTAGGGATCTTTAATATTGATATTAATACAAAGAGAAGATAAACTGGAAATAGAAAGCAATGGTCTTATTGGCATGTAAACAAAGAGAATACTATCTACAGAGGTCAGATATATTATTTACTTAGAGACCTGACGTTACAGTGTAGATGAAAAATAAAAAAAAAATAAATTGTACTTCTGTTTGAAGAGGGTAATAAGATACTTGCAGAATGACTTCTTTATCAAAATGGAATGAAGAAAACACAATATGCAAGAGTTATTTTCCATATGGAAAATATATGTTTTTCCATATGGACTATATGTTTATCTGTGAAATGAATATTCTCTGTAGTAGGGATGGACTGAGCTGCACACTAGGGATCTTTAATATTGATATTAATACAAAGAGAAGATAAACTGGAAATAGAAAGCAATGGTCTTATTGGCATGTAAACAAAGAGAATACTATCTACAGAGGTCAGAGATGTTATTTAATTAGAGACCTGACGTTATAGCGTAGATGAAAAACACACAAAAAAATTTTGTATTTCTTTTTGAAGAGGGTAGAAAAATGGACATGTCAACAGACATGACTCTGTTGTACTTCATGCCATGTTCAGAGCCAGCAGCCAGCTTGGCCTCCAGGATATAGGAATTACCATTATGTTATACAGTATGTTGCAAAGTGAAGTAACTTCTTTTGAAATGCTCGTCAGTTGTAGAAAGCATCTCGCAGACTCGGAGAGAGTGGAATTTGTCAAAAAGCTCTCATTTTGGTTTTTCTACTCGGCTTCCTCTTTCTCTGTACTGAGCCTCAGAGGAGCGGAGGGAAGAAAACAGGGAGAAAAATGGGAGAGGATTTTTCGAAGGGTTTGTTCTTTTTCTGAGGCCCTCGCTTCTCCCCCTGCCTCTGCAAAATAATTACGTGTCCAAACTGTTTGTCAGAATTTTTTTTGTTCTGCAGCTGAAGTGAACTCCTGATGTAGGGGGTAGTAATGGAAAGTAAAACTGTAGCTGAGCTGAACAATTTCAGAGGCAGTTTCAGCCCCTCAGAGAGGTGTTAGATAAACTCTGCCCAGGGAGCTGACTTGGCCAGCTCAGTCCACCAGGAGAGAGGGTTTGCTGGGTCCCTGTCGTGATGCCAGAGAGAGAGAGAGAGCTTGGAAAACGGCACTAAATTGCCTCTGTGCCTTTCTTCTCCTTCCTGGCTTCTAGGGAGGAGCTGGCCGTCTTCAAACACCCCCAAAGTTATTGCATCTGCTCATTGCCCTCCAGATTCTACCACACAAAACCTATTTTTCCTAACACTATCAAGTCTGAGCAATCCTATGTCCTACATGTCAGGAATTTCTGTTGTTGCACGTTAGGAATTCCTTGGAATTGCGTCGTGTGGCAGGATACAAACCTGTCACCATCCACGGGAAGGGAGATGAGGACTGAATTTCCCCCCTCTTGAGCAAAGCCCTTCAGCAGCTTGTTCTCTGCTGGCTTCCTAGACTGTTTCTGTGTCTGAAATCTGCAAATGTGCCCGAGTGCCTTGTTGAATCGATGCTTCAAGCGGCGCCGGTGCGAGCAAAAGAACTTCCCTGACTTCTGTGGAACAGGAGAAACATCCTCCTGTGCTTTTTAATAAGCGGAGCAGATCTGGAGGACGATATCCTCCAGCTCTGAGCGCGCTTTGCATTTGATATAGAAAAGATATATAAAAGATTGGAAATCCTATTTTCATGTTGGGTAGCGTGGCAACCAGTTCTCTGGGGTTTGGTGATGCAAGCCCTGCCCTTTCTAAAGTGTTTCAGGAAGACCCCAGGACTGTCCCGTGTTCTCCTTCCCTGAACTGTATCCCAAAGAGAGATTTAATTTAGCGGGAGTATTGAACTTCTCTGCAAGTAAAGGAGAGGACCTCTTCCAGAATTGTCATCTCTGAGAATTATACCAGTCTCCCTGCCGTTCTGCAAGCATGTGCAGGGCAATAAACCATGGGAATAAAAGCGTAACAGACCCGCTCTCTGGTGTAATGAACATTTAAATACGAGTCTGCATCTCTTATGTGAGTTGAAACAGCTCGCATAGATGTGTCCACCCACATAAATATCCAATACATACTACACACTCATCAGCCTCCACCCTTTCAAAACTATTAGCTAATACTCCACAAGAAGCATTTATAGCCTGTAAACACACCATTCGTGCACAAATAACCATTCATATTTATATAATGGACCCGGTAAACAAGCTAAAAATACATATTCAAAACACTGAATAATTACATCCGCCTTATAAATGTATCACTGATAAGCAAAATTCACCGCAGCCTCCGTCCGCGGCAGCGTCACGTGTGTCAGTGCCTGTGCCCATAGAACACCTCCTGCCCCACACCTGCCCCAGAGGGTACCCAGTTATTCACAAACACCCCACACACACGCTTCCATAGGGCACAGACACCCGGTGTAACCCCCAGCAGCCCACAGGCATGGCAGGGATTTAATTTGAGGTGTCTGCTCCTGTCCTGCAATCACTAATGAGAGTTGTTGAGCAAACAAAAGCTATTTTCTTCTCCTAATGAGAGTTGTTGAGCAAACAAAAGCTACATTTCTTCTTCTTGGTGTTCCTCCCTGTGACAGGAGAGTTGGGGAACACCAGTTCCAAGGCAGGAGAGTTAACGAGCTGTGAATGGAGGCAGGAGAGGAGAATTGCTCACAGCAAAGGCTTTGTCATTCAGCTGGGTTTTGTTGGAGGGTGTGGGGACTGGAGTGGGAGGGAGCCCTGCAAAATGAGTCATTTTAGTGTGTTCCTTGTTCCCAAGGCCTGGCTTTGTCACCGTGTGGTTCTTGTGCTGTGTCACTGCTGTGCGTGTGGCCAGGCTGACCTTGTGTCCTTCTGCTCTTGAGTTTCCAAGCTGATGTTTATTAAGACTATTCCTTTTGACTAAGGTATGTTTCTTAGACTATTCTGAAAGTATCTAGAGAAGGAAAATCCAGCTTTTCCCTTGGTACTTGCTTCTGGGGTTTAATCAACATGACCATTGGAAACGTACCTTTATTTTCCATTTTAATTTGCCTGGCTTTAACTTCCGCTCATTTCCAGACCCGTCACTCATTTGTTAGGCTTGAATTTCCCCCCTCGCTGTTTTCTCTCACCTGTTATTATGAATATATTTCCATCAGAAATAGCGGATCGCGAAGCCGAGATAAGAGGGAATGTTATTTATGCCCAAGTAATTAATACCCCACGATAAGCTCCGCGCGTTGCCAGCCGTATCTGCTGCGATATATGAGGCGCGCTGCCAGCATGTGTTAAGCAGCAGTTTGGTGGATGATGGAGATGAGGCTTAATTAAGTCACAGGGAAACCGGGCAAGCTTTCAGTCCTTGCATAAAAGTGGCAGCAGTTTCCATTCCCAGGCCAGTGGAACAGCGATAACTACTCAAAGTGCTGATAAGTACTGAAAAGTCAAGCCTAATTCTGCAGTTTTGTTGGAGGAGGTTTGTTATTTGCCCTACAGCAGCATCTGGGCATCCTGTTGGAGCTAGAACCTGGCAGCACAAACGTGCAGCTACTTCCCAAGGAGCATAAAAACCCAACTGAAGCCCTACTGAAGCCTGTGTTTTGCCCGTTGATGTCAACACTTCAGTGATGCCACCAGTTTGGTGAGGGCTGAAGGTCACTGGTGTGAGCAAACACAGCGTTTAGCTCAGTGAGGTGAGCTGAATGAGCGAAAAAAATAGCCTGTAAAATCAGGACTAAGTCCTGAGAATTAATGCTGTATTTCGGTTGGTTTATTGAGATCAGAACCAGGACACGAAGCGGTGAAAAGGTTGTGAGGCTTTGCGTTTATTCACAAAGTATTTGAGTCATAGTCCATCTCTAAGTAGGGACGGAGAAGAAAATCAATGACCTCTCCTTACCTGTAATTAGAAATGAGATAATGAGTGCAGAGCAGTATTATTTCTTACTCTCTCAGTATCTCTAGCCCTGGGAGAACAAGCCTGGCTTTGTGTCTGGCAGAAGGCAAGGGGCAGGTGTAAAGCAAAAAAAGCTGAGCCTTTCAACTAACACTCAAATACTGTAAATAACAGCGGGCGAGGAGGAGGAGGGGAAATGCCTTGGCTGAGCTGCCTAAATAGGGGTTTGTTTGCCAAAGAGGATGGCGAGAGCTCGGCGACCCCTGACCAAAGCCGTGGTCGGTCTATTCAGGGCAATAGCAGGAGGGACAGTGAGGTGGTCAGGGGCAGGTGTAAAGCAAAAAAAGCTGAGCCTTTCAACTAACACTCAAATACTGTAAATAACAGCGGGCGAGGAGGAGGAGGGGAAATGCCTTGGCTGAGCTGCCTAAATAGGGGTTTGTTTGCCAAAGAGGATGGTGAGAGCTCGGCGACCCCTGACCAAAGCCGTGGTTGGTCTATTCAGGACAATAGCAGGAGGGACAGTGAAGTGGTTCCAGCTCCTGAGGTCCCATCCTCACCCCTGGAGGGGCTTTTGGGTTCCACCGAGTCTAATTTAGCACCAAACAGGGCGAGTTATTTAAGGAAGGGTGATTCAAAATTGAAACAACTCCATTCTTTCAAGCCTCATCTTGTAATTGAAATATTCATAAAGCTCCTCGTTCAGCATAAGGCCATTGCAGGGAATATTTGGAGGGTTTCGTGCTTTTTGCAGTTACAACGTGCAAATTCAGCAACACAAACACTGGCCGGCGTTTTCTGAGTGCAAATGCATCATATTTTTGACCCATCCCTCTTTCAATATATTTTCCCTTAAGG